CAGATAAGGGACATTAAAAAGGCCCCCTTCCCCTCATCATTGAACATTGATATAAATTTCTACGGACGCCCCTTATAGGAAACATAAGAAATGTATTTCTCATTGTTATATTGATAACCGCTCTTAATGCAATATTCAACTCAAAAATGGTCTGAGTTATTGAAGTGAGCATACTGTTTGATTCTCATGCTTTGGTTGTACCATATAGAATCCAGGTATGCATAAATCTATCTTATCTCCCTCAGTATCTTAGAATAAAATCTAAGGCGTGGTAGCATTTATCTAAACATCCACACATTAGCCACTCATTACTAGACATATCTGAATAGTTCATCAGCTATTCCACAAGCATCATCATTAGACAAGAACATACATTAAACAACACTTACTCCTTTATCTTGCCAGTTTCTAAAAGTCGAAAAATGTCAGCATATAGCATATCAATAATAATTTTTCTTCTGTTAAGATACTGCCCTTAAAAGTTTGTTCAAAGGCATATAAGAGAATTTTATGACTTATGGGACAACTTTCTTTTATGATTTATTTATCGTTTATTTAAATGCAGATCAAATACATTAAGCAGAAAACATCCTATCATACATTTTAACAATTAAACATTTAGACTATATTGATATTTATCAAATGCAATCTAGTTAGATAAAATTGCACAATTAGAAAAAATATGTAGATTAGATCAGCATATCGATCAATTTTAAACAATCACGATTAATGAATGCATACAATATTTTCAAACAGGATGAGTCAATTCTAACTGAATTATAATAATTTAACAACTTCGCACTATGAATACTGATACATCCTTGAGGTAATCAATGATACATGCTAGAAGATAAGTAAGAGAAAGATTTTAGCACTAGTAATATTGATGTTGGCTAGTATTAAAGGAGTATCAAAAGGGCAAATCATGCATGAGCTTTATCAAATACGATACAAAAGAATTGAAAATGAAGATCAGAAACGCTAGTTTTGCATTAATTAGCAGTAGTGAAAAATTCCTAGATAGGTTCACTATCAATATTATATGGAGCCCTTATTGAATTATTAAGGGGGTTAGATTGTTGGAATTAATGAAATTCAACTTAAAGAACAATTCAAAAAATGTCAAATAGCAGGTAACTAGAGTAGATTGGCCAGGAAATGAGTGGTATACAGTTAGACAAGATCCAGCTAACAACAATAACAAAATCAATGCATAAGCTGTGCACATAAGATAAGATTATTAAAAATATTTATAAAAAAAATAAATGGAGCAGTGATAACTGGGTAAGTGGCGAGCCTAATTTTACATATTTTCAATTATAATTAACTTTATAAATTTTGTGAAAGTGTACTTCATGTTTAACATTTATTTCAAGTGCTTTACTATGCAATTATAATCATATAAGAGGAATCACAAAGAATATAATGCATTGTACTTAATATTTACTCTAAAGAAAAATAATGGGCTTGCTCAAGCCCACATGAGCAAGATAAAATTTTAAGGAGCCATTATAATTGTAGAAAAATAATCGCATAATTGGTTTATTCTATACGGGTATTAGCTTCAGAAATAATCACAAAATGCAATATAAACAAGTAGACATTCATAATAGATACTATTTACTATTTTCCAATTCATATATGCAAAAGACCAATATAACCCCTACTGTGATATCTAAAAAAAAGGTATGTCTTCTTCAAAAAGAAAGTGATGAATAAATTTATACCTTTTGAGTATGAATTTGGCCTGGTTGGAGTAGAAGAATGAAATGACTTACTCAAAATTGAATGGTTTTAAAATGTAAAACGTCTTAAACCATTTAGTTTAAGACTACAATGAAGTAAAACCATAGCGGGCTTACTTAATAATGAAAAAAGGGATATAAGAAAGTGCCAGTAGAGGGAGTAAGTCATTTCATATACTCAAGTGACCATAATTAATAAAAACAGTAAAGGCTTCTCTAAATGTAGTACATCTCTCTCTTGAGAGAATTTTCACTCTTTGTCTCCTCTATTTATATTGAGTTCAGTTTACATGTTGGCTGGATT